GTGTGATTTCACTCAGTAAATAAAATTATTTAAGTGATATCACTCATTCAATAGAATGATTTGTGTGATTTAACTCAGTGAATAAAATGATTTGTGTAATTTCACTTATTATAGACTGCATTTGATAAGCATTGCGAATGTTTTTGGATTGATTAATACCAAAATACTATTCATGCAGCATTTTGATGTTTAAAGGGAACCTCAATCCAAACAACATAATGACCCTAAAAAAAGCTCCACAAATGTAGGAGAATGCAATTTACACTTTTTTTATATTAGTTTTCATTCTCTAGATATTCAACTTTTCATCGTTATTATGTAGTCAGCCATCTTGATTCTCAAGCAAAGGGTTGTGGGTAAAGTATGACATCATAGAATCTGTTGTCAGAAATTGAGAAAATTATTTCATCTATAACATGAGAAATACTGATGCGAATTTTCAAATTTTCGTTGTGCATATTACTCATGTATATAATTATAGTAATGGAAATTGAATATTACAAATACACATAAAGTGAAGATATTGTTAAAAACGTTAAACAAATAAAAATCAAATATAGAATGTCACTTTTTTGTCCCCTTTTTGTGCTCAACATGTAATATATCACATATATAACCTACTCACGTTGGTAAATTGTATACAATATAAGGAAATTTTAGCATTTGGTAGAAAAACATAAAAATAAATATTTTCAGTTCTGTTTCCATGACAACTATTTTATAAGCATGTTTGGCACCAGTATATGTATGCTACAATGTTCTAAACTTTCAGCCAATTTGAAGTTCAACTTTTGAAGTTATAGATGAAATCATTTTCTCAATTTCTGACAACAGATTCTATGATGTCATACTTTATCCATAATCCTTTGCTTACAAATCAAGATGGCTGACTACATAATACTGCTGAAAATTTGAATATCTAGAGAATGAAAAGTGATACAAAAAAAATGTAAATTTTATTCTCCTACATTTGTGGAGTTTTTTCTTTAGGGGTCATTATGTTGTTTGGATTGAGGTTTCCTTTAACTTATTAGGTGGCGAACATAGATGTTGTTTGTTTGTTTGTTTGTTTTTTCTAGGATAATATTCTATTGAATATTGATGAACCTCTTGCCACCCTTTTTCACGGAAAAAATCCTACATTTGTAATTTCATTCTCTGGTGGTGCGCATGCATGAATCCTTTCACTGATTCAACGTACACATACTTTCTTCCTCTGATCGTACTCCCCTTTACCTTTAAAAAATAACACAAAAACACAATTTACGTCAAATAGCATTAGCACGTGAAATAGATTTTCAATTAGCTGATATAAATATAGCAGTCGTTATTATAGTTCATATGTTTGGCCTTTTTGTATGTGCCCAAGGCCACACCATAAAAGACGTATCACTTTTTTTAATGTAGGGAAACCTACCAGTGGGCATTTTTAATATCAATAATGCATTAACCAGTTTGGTTTATTGTTTTTCCAATACGACTAGGATGGAGTCCGATTTTAGAAAGTTTTCCCTAACTAAGTTTTACATTAACGCTCGCTTCCAATCAATACATATCGTATTCTGAGTACTTCTTTTTTTTCAGAAAACATACGTTCAGTGAATTGTTGAAACTTACAAAGTGTATTCACAAGACCGTGACGTTAAATTGATCCCCGGAAAGTAATTTGCTCTCATTTGAGTCGGCATATAGGCCCAACATATATACCACAGCATTATTCAAGTAGAGATTGTAATTTTGCAACTTCTAATTTCTCTACATTATTCGGGGGGGGCCACATCGGAATCAAGTAATATGCTACCTACTTCTTTATATTCAGGACTGTGGGTTTGTGTTTTGGGGTAAAAACAATATTTAAAATGGGTCACCGTACATTTGTTTTTAATATGTATGTACTTTTATTTATGACGATTCTTTCTTGTGATAATTTGTTAAAGAAGCTCTGCTTCATGTGACTGTAGAAATAAATCAGATAGAAATGTGTATTTATTGGAATATTAAATATATCTTTCGAAATATTGCTCGAAACGACTAGATAAGTTGAATAGTTACCCAGGACAACGATATATTATCTACTATATACTGTATTAAATACCGTGGTTTCTATGGGTGAGGGCGGAAGTGTCGTGCTTCTCTCGTGCTCAGTGATATGCGAATAAGATATTATGAGTGATCAGGTGTCAGAATCGTCAAACATCACATGTTGGACTTTCACTCGTGCCATCCGCGTAAACTACAAAATGTGCCAATGAGTAGTTGTGTACATACATTTTCGGCATCAAAATGTGTTCAAGAGACGACAGGGTTAATTTTATATAAAATAATTGTAAATTCCAAAAGATGACCAACGACTTGACCAATCAAAAATACCCTATCGCGGATGAATACCAACCGTAGAAGCTCATACAAAGGTCAATGGAGCCTTTGACATATCGTGACAATTTTCTTGCAACCTGAAATGATGTGAACGATTAGTTATTGGAGTGTTATAAATATTTTTGGTACATTGATAAATAGGTAAAGATTGCGAAAAACGGATAATAACTTACGGATAATGTCTGTTACCAAAGGTCTTCTCTAGACAATGAAACCATGGCAACTAGATACAACCTTTGAACTTTGATGATGATTTGAAGGCAGTGTGAGGATTTTCCGTGAGTGAATGTTTGATACATTTTCATTGAGAAATGTTAATGCTTTTTCTAAATACATTGCACAGTCGTAATAGTTTCACATTTAGCAATCCTGTTTTTTTTGTGGACTACAGAAATATTGATTTAATCATTTGTTGACGTTTTACCGATACAAACATGTTATAATACAAATTGTAAAGGGTTGTCAGAAAGCAGAGGGCATCCGATGGATACATCTATAAATGGCATCCCTAAAATATTAATATATAATTCTGGCGGTAACCATACATGGCTGATGACGTCATACTACTTAAAAAGGAAATAACGTTGGATTATATACAAGTGCCGTCATGGGTAATGGTCTGGTTTAATGACCACATTTATTTCCTCTAACCATTTGTACTGTGTTAAGGATACAAATTACACTGGGAAGCACTCATTATTTTAGTTCAAGTTGAGAAATCGTTCAGTGACAAGATACGTAGGTAGTCGCTAGACTTTCAATATATATAGTCTCTGAAGTCTAAATTGTTTATTTATTTTTTGCCAGAATAAATATCAAACGCCCAAGGCGAGGGCAAAACTCGAGAGGCCGTCGAGAGTCTAGTATTCATGACAACAAGAAGCTACGGTCTGACTGGCTTATTTTCGATGCAAAACGGCATCCAGCTTAGTGCGTTTTCTAAAACTGTCGAATTTGGCTATGATTGTAAAGCGTTAACCTGTGTCAGTGAACAACAATTAATTAATTACTATGGTAACAATTCATGTGATGCTTTTCTCGAAACGCAAGACATTGTCACATTTATAACTTTATTGACGTACATTTTAAGATCATCAACACCGATTTGGCGTAAAGGATTATATGCAACATGACATCAAAGGAAATACCTCGTAAACAGTGTGACATTTTAAAAGGCACCTACGCTACAGACGAGTTTCCCATGTCACAGTTGCTATAATACCTCGCACGCTGGCACAATAAGTCTCAAAGTCTGACTGTTCTTGCGTGTCTGAACGTATGGTGTATGATTCTCTTGGAGAAAGGGTGGGTGCCCTGGTGTGGATTTGTTGTGGCGATGGAGGCTCCATGGCGGCTTTAATTGTGGTCCGACAGGGAACCAGTTAACTATAGTAAACTATACGCCTAGCCCGTATTGTGTGGGGGTATCTAGTGAGTCAATTAGACCAGGGATGAAGTTTCCGGCGATCCCACATGTTTTAAACTGGTGAAAATAAACGAAAGTAAATTAAAATTTAATTTATAACATATACTACTACTTAGGAGAATAACTCCATAACTTTACATTACCAATATTAGTAGAATAAACCAAGAAAACAAAACTGACTCCATTTACAAAGTTAGGACGGTGTGTACGGTTTTACCGGCACAGTTGGAAGCGTGGTTTTGAATTTGTTGTGCAAAGATCGGGATCGGTTACGAACCATAGCAATATAGTTTCTGGGCGCCTTAGAACCCGCTAGAAATGGGTGTATAGGGTTTTCAACATTCAAAAACATTCAAACACTTGTATACCTAGGTGGCGTTTCAATCGATTATTTCTATCGTGAAACCGTTATACGTACCTCGCCCAGAATACACAATACAAAGGTGGTGTTGTTGTGTCATTGTGTCCGATGTATTGACCTTGATATGTCAATGAAGGAAAGTAACGACAGCCCATTCCACCTTATTCGCATATTTTTAAATATTTGACACTTGTGTGTGTCGCGTTCTATCATAAACTCATGGCGCAGTTCGAATTTATTGTCAACAGAAACAGTATTTCAGTTTACACACGTTGTATGAGACTAGTAGAACAAAGACACGATGCGGTGATCACTTTTAAGACTGAATAATTAGTTTTTTGTTTTTGTGAAAAAAAGGGTTGAACAATGTTTCTCGATTTTAGTTGAAACAGCTTGTATTGAGTGTGTATGGATGTAAGTTGACAATCCAGTCAGTCAATAGTGTGTCTGATATGCAAATGTAGATATTCAAAAATACCAGTTCACGTCTCGGTTACAAATACAAAAAAGTGAAATGAAAGATGCTTCATGCAATCGGTAAATTATGCTTTCTAATTTGATGGTGATTTGAAGACATTCGACGGGATTGGAATATCAGGAATATTGTTTAAACCGTACCGCACCTTTAGGCAGGACTTCTATGATATCAGTGTTCAATTTCATATATCCGATCACGTGACCCCAGTAGCATTAATAAATAAGCAAGAATAGGTACATCTTTATTTTTCTCCGCACACAGAGTCCGAGTCCAGCACCGAAGGCAGCTAGTACACAAGCTATCTCTAATAAGACGAACAGTTGTCGCAAGATATTTGGATCTTTACAGAACTCCCCAAGTTTGCAATGTGTCTTCCTACTAGGATTTCCCTATTGCTAGTTGCTAGCTGCCTTGCACTGTTTACTGTCGAAGCGAGCCAGCGCTCGTTGGCTAATAGATCCGGCAAAGTCCTTGCAGATCCGACAGAAACAGAGATACATGACCTACAAGAGCGAGAGCATGAGCAAGTAGCTGAACAAATCGGAGAAGAGGTGTTAAATCTATTAAAAGGTGAGGTTTTACTTTTTAACATTTTTAATACGGCGCGGTAAAAGTGATACATACTATAACGATGGACGATAGATGATAAATACGGAGGATAGACACTGGATACCGACAAATCTTAATAATATCTTGGTTACTTTCATGATGTTTAAAATTCATGCAATAATTTGTTAATTTATGAAATTCCAATCACGAGAATAATGTGGTTGATTTTATTGTTTATCTAGTCTTTTCAGTAACGTTTTATTGATTGCACGGAAAATGCGAACATATGAGAGCTGGAGACAGCAGCAATTCCGCTAAACAATGTTAAATCGGCAACTCCAAGAAAATGAAAATGTCACGAGCATTGTCATGATACAATCGAAGTAGTTAACGTTTCAATTTGTGAGTCGTGTTTATTCCGTCACTTATCACGCTACTTCACGCGTGCTACATGCGACGATGGTCATAATGGTCGGGATGATTGATTTATAAGGATCACTTCCCACTGAATTGGCTTACTCAACTGAAAATGAAGAGAGAGGTAAATAGAAAGGTGACCTGTATTTTAAATATGAAAGTGTTGAAATATTGAGCGTTTCCGCAATTTTGTCACATGCCAAGTGAAAAGTGTGTTTTTATTATTTCAATTAAATTAAATCAAGATACAAAACGGGAGAATAAAATTACAGCAGCAATTGGTGAAACATAGCACACTTTATAGTTTATTGTTGTTTCTTGTTAATTTTTTTTTTCGTATTTTACCAAAAAAGCTTTCACTTTTTTTACACAAAGAGAGCGTCGATTAGTCTGTGATCTGCACACACGTGCACAATGATGATTTAGAAATTAATAGATTCAGTTACCATTTCATGTCAAGCGTTGATATAGTTGACATCTTCTATTTATTAGAACGTAGTATTTGCTTGTTAAAACGGTACTGTTCACGTATATGATTAAATGAAACGACAGTATTTGAAGAAACCTCATAAAACAACGAAAGTAGCAAAAAAATATCGTGTACACGGATCAAAATGCAATGTAGGACTAAGTAATATTTTTTGCAAAGCACACAATGGGATTCTGTGCAGTTAGTGTGTCTGTGCGTGTGTATGTATGTATGTGTGTGTCCGCCTGTTCCAATGCTATCTTAAGAACCAAATGTTGTTTTTCGGTGAAACTTGATGCATAGATGCTCTGAGATAATCAGTCCGCAGGTTTGATTCTGTTTTGGTTTAAATCCATGCATATTAATTACCTAATTTGCATGAAAATCATTGGATTGTTATGACACTTGGTACATAGATGCCATGGGACAATGCACAGCCCTGATTACTTTTGGGTTAAAATTCATACATATTAATTACCGAATTTGCATAAAACTCTATTTTCGGCTTTCCACTGATATCTCAAGTACTAATCATTACATTTCTTTGAAACTTATAGATGCTCTAGCACAAACCTAATTAGTTTTTAAATAAAAACCTGCATAGTAATAACTTGATTTGCATTATTATCTCAATTACTAATCATCATTTCAATGAAATCTAGTACATTTACGGTCTTAGACATTGCGCAGACCTTATCAGTTTCACATTAAAATATGTGCATATTATTTACCTGATTTTCATAATAAGTCAGTTTTCAGCTTTTACATCAGTATCTCAAATACTTATTATCTTATTTTCATCTAGGTACATAAATACTCTTAGGACAAAGCAACAATCAAATTAGTTTTGCGTTTATATACATCCATAATAAGTGCCTAATCATTTTTGTCAAGAATTAATCATCGCATTATAATACAACTTACATAGGATACATATGTTCCATGGCACAATACACAGATTAAATTCGTTTGGGGATGAAAACTGTTCATAATAATTGCTTAATTTGCATAATAATTAATTTCAACAACCAATTATTGCATTTCAACAAGACTGGGTATATGGGAGCAATGCATTAGTTTTGGATTGAAATTCGAATATACTAATTGCCGAATTTGCATAATGTGCATAATCATCACATAAAATTTGGTTGATAAATGCTATGGGGAAACCCACTGACGTTATTCATTTAATAATGAAAAACAAAGCATGTTGATTATCTAATTAATATTAACCAATTTCTGATATCTCAAAAAATCATATTTAAATTGGGCTTGCGTGGAGGTGCTCTGAAATAAATTAGAAGTATCATAAACTTCAATATTATGGATTACACTGTGTTCGCGATGTACGTCTCAAATAGCTGACAAATATTAGCTACCAAGATGCTTGTTTGAAAGGCTAATTTTTAATGTCTCCAATACTCTCAGCGCACTCTTTCTAAGCTTTTTCTGATTAATTAATTGGATTCTTGAATGTTGAAGAAAATACACGTTCGTGCTGCTGTTTGATCGAAGGCCTGTATTTGACGCCGCGATTAGGTGTGCTATCGGTCAGAATCACAATACATCCCAGTTGATACTCTTAATTCGAGCAGACTGGTCGTGTCATCTTATAAATCTCACGACTCACAAGCTAGGTCATGCATCTCGATGTATTCCACATTTGGGTCGGAAAACTACTTAAAACATCGCACGGCGCGTTTGAATTTTGTGTAAATAAATAATGTATACTGCACGCGTTAAATGTGTCACGTGGGCGCGTCGTGAAAACGTAGCGTTTTCAGTTGCCACGTCGTGCTGTCAACGCGATGTATTTTGGTTTGCGTAAACTACTGATAGAAACAAATATGTTTTCAAGTTTGAAAATATTGATCGTAGTACAGCTCTAAGTAGTCAGCCAGTCAGCTCGAAGCGTTATACCAATATTAATCCACGTGTGTTTAGGCAGCCCACATACACGTTTTCAACCATGGTCACCAATATATATGTATTGACTGTTAGATTGTGTTTTAGATCGATATTGCATTTGTCAATATGCCACTGTTCGTTATTTGTCGTAAACTAAAAATAGTTAAGCTGTTTTTCTTTATTTCACTTAATTTCGAATTTAGATTTTGTACGTATCAGTAATGACTGGAAACGCACGCTCAGTAGTAAAACTATCGAACACTATTTTTTGTGAGCAAATACTGTTTTCTCTGTCATATAATAATCGTAGTTGTCTATATCATCTCGTTTACTCGGTGGCGTACCTCGTGTACATCCGATGTAGACGTGTGCGATAGTAATGTGTCGTAATAACTGAATGCAAAGCGGGGTATGTTTCAATTACAAATAATCAGACATGACCCTGGGTAATTTGCAAATAGCGTAAGTATGACATCACTGACATTGTGTCAAAACACGAGAACCCGCTAGTCCTGTTACATTTATGCTCGTTAAGCTCTGTTTGACACGGCATTATATAAACGATAACACTGTAAAGTCTGGCGGTACCTTATTACGTCAAATAATTGAATACACGTACCGACTGGTGTTATTTATCATAACCTCATTGTTAGTAACACAGTTTAATAGCTCAAATCGTTAATCGCTATCGACTCCTTGATGCGGCCGAGGCTAATATTACTGATTGTCTGCCGTCGTCCGTCGTCGTTCGTTGTCGTCCGTGTCAACTTTTTTGACTTCTTTTTAGTGATATTTTTGAAAACATTGCGAAAACCGCAAGTCTGATTGCTTCGATATTTGAACATATATTTGTACCTTGAATGTACTTTGTGAGAGAAAAAAATGGTTTGGCTGCCATGCATACGTCACTTCTGGTTTCTCAGGAATGTCTTAATGAAGAGAGCTTTAATTCATCTTACAGCATCTATACAGCATTGCCAGTCATGCGAAAATTTCATAGTTTTGTTTTAATTGCATGTTTTGATCGCCATCTTGAATTGTAAGCAACATGACCTGAAACATTTACTGTAAAACACGTTGAAATGGCTACAAACAATCTTAATTTAGCTAAAGTGCCAACAATCTCATTATGAGAATAAACTTTATTTTATGTTAGCGACATCTTGAATAAGCGAAAGTATTAATTAGCTAAAATAACATGTAAGCTAAAAGGACATGTTTTACAGTATTTCGTGGTTCAACGGGATAAATATGACGAGATCTTTTTGAAAAAAATGGTTTAGTCACGTGTTTTGTCACTTTATTGAAATTGTGTGGGAAATGGGCATAATTTCAACATTCAACTGACCTCAAATATTTACTGCATGTTGTCTTGATTGTCTATCACTTGACGGGGTCTTCAATTGGTTCATGTGCTTGAACCACTATAACGCTGCCCATGGTTCAAATTGTAAATATCCCCTACATCAAATTCATGTTTTCAATTCACTCTACACCCAGGTCTTCTTTAGTATACTCTTGTACAAATTGCTTGTGAAATATGATTGATAACAGAAGAGGTATCTCAGCTAAGAGGCTGCTTGTTTTTAAAATTTTGAAATTTCATTTTATGTAAACTTCACAAAAAGGTTTCTGTTTGTCTCTCTCTCCATTATAAGCAATTTCTGTCAACGCATGTGAAATAAACATTACACGTTGTATTGTTCTATTATTATTGTTCTGTTCTCTGATTGGTTATTACCTACATCATTCGCATTCGTTTCAAACGCAATATTACAGTAAGTGATACAATCGGCCTAGCATTGTATCATTCTAATTAAGGACTTTTATTAACCATACATGTATGGATCTAGGTTAATACAACAACACATAATCAACATTATTCGGCAGACATGCGCAAGTTGTTGACATCACAATGTGCCGATCTATTACATCTAATATATAAAAATTCCCGGATGTGGCAAAATTGGTTGAACATAATTGGTTGATTAATATTTCATCGTTTATTGCGTTCTTGTTCTCTCTCAAAATAATGATGTATTGCCTGTGAAAAATTCCGGTAAGTTAAAGCGGGCGCCAAAATAAACTGATGGTGAAAATCTCCTTATCAATTTTCTTTGGAGTATTGCAATACCCATTAGAAGATTTTTAGCGATGTTTTTTACGTCTTTGCATTCAACCGTTTGAAACTTACATATCGAAACTACGACAGGGTATTCGAATTTAA